GAAGGAAGAGGGGATAGATGACTGCTGTTGTACTTCTGGCATGAACCCTATGATGATGAACACAGACAAGAACTTATGTCGAAAGGTATGTTGACACTGAATAAGACTCTTCTCCCAATCCCAAGGTCACTGGAAACATTCTCCAGGAAGAGGACTGAGGTCACCCTCAGGTATCTCATAAAAGAATGTGGAATTCCATGATTAAGGTACTTATCTGGGTAGGGGTGATAAAGGTGTTCATGAGGCCCTGGGTTAAAACCCCAGAATCACCAAAAATAAATGAATGAATGAATAAAGCCCTAAATTCTCTGTCTATAAATAACACTTTTATTCCTAAAAACCACTTGAAATGTAAATTTAATAAATGACTTTCTCCAAAATGTGGGTTAATTAAAAGAAAGAGTGTACATGTCAATAGTTAAATGAGAGAGAGAGAGAGAGAGAGAGAGAGAGAGAGAGAGAGAGAAACAAATGGCACATTCAGTCTTCCTAAAACATTTTTTTTCTAAGCTATAAACACAACTTGTAGAAAGTAGAGAAACATCCTATAAAGTAAAAATGTAGGGGGTGGAGGTGAGCTTTTCTTGAGACTACAAAAAGTGGTACTCTAAAGAAAAAGTTGTATTATTAAATAACCATTGTCTCATTTAATTGTTGCACAACATTTAAAGTTGGTATCTGTTATCTTTACTTTATAGATGGAGAAAATGAATGTAAGACAAAGTCTGCCTGCCATTTCCCCCAATCACATTACTGACAAAATCCCTGTGAGTTTGTAGTTATATCACACATATATTTGCTTATGTTTTGCAAGATTACCTGTATTATTTACCATGAACTTCTATATTTTTGTACTATGCCTTATTCCACAAAGGAGGGAAGAAGACAATTGAAAATCTTGGAGGAACGTGATCTATACAAAATAGTCCATTTTTTATCTTGTCTCTCTCCAGAAGCATCTGTTCAACAGAGTGAAGGATTGTCACAGAGATGTGGGATTCAGGTGTGTAGCTTCAGTGATTCAATTTCACTGTATTCTTTTACTATCCCAAATAAAATTTCAGATAAAAAACAACTAAGAACTAGCTAAGCTAATTTCTCCGTTCTACATACTGTAACGAAGTGGTGGAATAAGTAAATTAAGTCAAAAGCATCAATATAATCTGTCTTCCACAGACGCTTATGTAACATGTGAGTAAAATTTTCTTTACATACTGTGAAGATCTTTTCAAGAAATGCAATCATCTTAGAGATTCTGACCCTTAGCTGGAATGAAGTTGTCTTCTTGTCCATAGGAAGGCCTATATTTACTTAAGAGTGAGAAGAATGGCTTGAATTCCATTACTCTCCACATTGTTGAAGTTACTGCATCTTGATCTAGTAATGAGAAGGTAAAAAGCCAGGACTGTGGCAGCCTACTATACTGATTTCTGTATTGAACTACAGTGTGTGTGTGTGTGTGTGTGTGTGTATTTCAGTGTCATTCTAGACTCTCATGTTTCTACCATTGTGTACCTATTGTATTTATTTACTTGTGTTTTGTCTAATTATTTTTAAAGTCAGTCCTTCACTGAATTATTAACACCAGCCAGTAGGAATCCTTTCATGCCCCTCTCTGCCCCCACCATCTGGGACCACCATTCATTAAATGTTTGTTGAGAGAAAAAAAAAAAGGAGCTAGGAAGAACGTAAAGGAAAGAAATTGTTAGGAAATGCACAGTGACAGAAGGCACCCAAAGTCTATAGTGAAAAACTATTCTAAAATTACAGTGTATGTTTTTAAAAAGTTATTCACTAATACATAGTATAATTTTCTTACCATCTCATACCAAAATAGTACTAGAAATAAGGTAGAGTTTATTGATTTATTCATTCAACATAGAAGTATTCCAGGAACCACTGAGAGCACTGAAGATGGGAGTAGTGAGTGACATGGCTTAGGTTGCTGCGCTGACTCAGACTTACAATTTATTGAAATGACATAAATTGTAAGAAAAAAATAGCAACAAGTCCTAAAGGCAATATAAAGGACAATGAGATACAGGGTGGTTGTAGTTGTTGGTGGGTTGTGGAGACGTGAAGGGGCAGGGGCTGCTTTAGACAGGGTACAAACGAAGATCTTGGGAGTCAGTGTCAGCTGAGCAGAGACTCAAAGAAAAAGAATAAGAAATTATGGAGCCATCTGAGGGAATAGCTTCTGGGACAAAAAGATAAATACTCTTAGGGCCAGGTGAGGGATCCAAAATAGGGCAAGAGTCCCTAAAGTAATATGGGCATAAATGAAGAGAGAGAGTCAAATGGTAGAGGATGATGGAGGTTATGGTAGTAAGTATGGAAACTGATTTTCACTTTGATAATCTTTGTCATTTAATTATTATTTTCCTGATCTTAAAAGACTATTTCCTTCTATATTCATGACATTCATTCACATGTTTCTGGTATTCTATCTACATCTTGGGGACATGGAAGGAACAGTCCTTCCATTGAGATTCTTGACAGACAATCAATGTTCCAAAAAGTATATCCCCTGTTCCCTGTCCCCAGCATCTGTGAGTGCCACCCAGTAACTCTAAGTATCTTATTTTTTTTAGTTTAATTGATTTTATTTTTTAAATACATGACAGTGAAATGCATTACAGTTCTTATTATACAAATAGAGTACAATTTTTCATATCTTTGTATATAGAGTATGTTCACACCAATCCATGCCTTTATACATATACTTTTTTATTATAATTCTTATTTCACATTTTACCACAATTTTTCATATCTGTTTATATATAAAGTATGTTGACACCCAATTCGAGTCTTCATATATGTACTTTGGATGATGATGTCCATCACATTCCACCATCCTTGCTAATTCCCTGCCCCCTCTTTTTCTCTCCCACCCCTCTTCCCTATCTTGAATTCATCTATTCCTCCCATGCTCCCCCTCCCTAACTCACTATGAGTCAGCCTCCTTATATCAGAGAAAACATTCGGCATTTTTTTTGGGGGGATTGGCTAACTTCACTTAGCATTATCTTCTCTCTTTTAATACTGAGTAAAATTCCATTGTGTATATATGCCACATTTTCTTATCCATTAATCCACTGAAGGGCATCTAGGTTGGCACAACATTTTGCTATTGTGAATTGTGCTGCTAAAAACATTGATGTGGCTGTGTCCCTGTAGTATGCTGATTTGCATATAGTCCAAGGAGAGGGATAGCTGGGTCAAATGGTGGTTCCATTCCAAGATTTTCAAGAAATCTCCATATTTCTTTCCATATTGGCTGTACCAATTTGCAGTTCCACCAGCAATGTATGAGTGTACCTTTTTCCTCACATCCTCTCCAACACTTATTGTTGTTCCTCTTCATAATAGCTGCCATTCTGACAGGAGTAAGATCATATCTTAGAGAAGTTTTGATTTGCATTTCTCCGATTGCTAGAGATGATGAACATTTTTCATATATTTGTTGACTGGTTGTATATCCTCTTCTGAAAAGTGTCTGTTCAGGTCCCTGGCCCATTTATTGATTGGGTTATTTGTTTTTTGGTGCTTAGCTTTTTGAGTTCTTTATATACCCTAGAGATTAGTGCTCTATCTGATTGTGAGAGGTAAAAATTTTCTCCCAGGATGTGGGCTCTCTGTTTACCTTACACATTGTTTCTTTCGCAGAGAAGAAACTTTTTCGTTTGAATTCATCCCATTTATTGATTCTTAGTTTTAATTCTTACACTATAGGAGTCTTATTAAGAAGGTTGGGGCCTAATCCCACATGATGAAGATTAGGACCTACTTTTCCTTCTATTAGACACAGAGTCTCTGTTTTAATTCCTAGGTCCTTGATACACTTTGAGTTGAGTTTAGTGCATGGTGAGATATAAGGGTTTAATTTCATTTTGTTGCATATGGATTTCCAGTTTTCCCAACACCATTTGTTGAATATTACTCGGCAATAAAAGAAAATAAAATCATGGCATTTGCAGGTAAATGGATGGTGTTGGAGAAGATAATGCTAAGTGAAGTTAGCCAATCCCCAAAAAACAAATGAAGAATGTTTTTTCTGATATAAGGAGGCTGATTCATAGTGGGGTGTGGAGGGGGAGCATGGGAGGAATAGAAGAACTCTAGAACAGGCATAGAGGTGGGAGGGCAAGGGAGGGTGCAGGGGGTTAGCAATGATGGTGGAAAGTGATAGACATCCTTATCCAAAGTACATGTATGAAGACATGAATTGGTGTGAACATACTTTTTGTACAAACAGAGATATAAAAATTATACTCTATATGTTTAATAAGTATTGTAATGCATTCCACTGTCTTGTATTTAAAAAAATAAAATCAATTAAAAAATCATCTTGTTTGGTGTTTGGGATTAAACCCAGGACTGCTTACCTAGTAGGCATGTGCTCTACCACTGATATACTCCCAACCTTTAAAAAATCAGTTTTGGGATTGGGGTTGGGGATTAGTTGTAGAGTGCTCACCTGGCACACATGAGGCACTGGGTTCAATCCTAAGTAATGAATAAAAATAAAATAAAGGTATTGTGTCCATCTACCAGTTTATATATTATATATTGTATATATTATATATATACACTATATATATAATATATATTATATATATAGTATATATATATATATATATATATATATATATATATATATATATCAGTTTTGACACCTTCCTCACATATCGAGTTATGTGAGCTCAACATGGTAGGAAGGTGTCAAAACTGATTTGAAACCTGAAGAAGTTGGAGGTAACCTTACTTTTGCTGTAAAGATATTAATTACCAACATAAAATAAAGGAAAAATTATAAGTGGTCACTAAGTAGAATACAACATACCTGCTCAGGCACAGGCAACACATAATTCGGATCAAAGTGAAATCTGCCAACTACAAAATACTATTAAGCTGCTTGAACAAAACCAAAACAAGACCTTGATAATCATCAAGGTGAAATTGCAGTTTTGCAGCATGTACATCAAAAGAAACTGGCAGAGATGAGTCGCCGGTATCGAGAGGAACTAAATGACTCTGAAGAAAGAATTAAAAAACTTGAAAATCAGTTACAGCAAGGTGACTCAGGAGTAACAGTAACTGATGAGTCTAAAATCTGTGACTTGCAAAAAACGATTCGGGTTCTACAAACTGAAAAACTAGAGTCTGCCAGGAAGATCGAAGAACTTGAGGATCAACTAAAAGATATAAATGAACAATTATCTTTGGCACAAAATGACACAGAGGTCTTGAAGAGAGAAAAAGAGCAGCTCAGTGTGGAAAAGCAACAAATACTGGAACAGTGTGAAACCCTGAAGCTGGAAAGCAGTCAATTGCAGCCTTCTGTGATGGAGCAGAAAGAGGAGGAAATTGGGAATTTATGGAAAACCAGTGAACAAATAAAAGCCCAGTTGCAGGAAGACACACACAACACTCCAGCAGACAATTCTGATAGTTTTCAAAAAACAAAAGTTAAAAGTCTTCATATAGAAAACGGAAGTGAAAAACACGACCTGCGTAACCATGAAACTGTAAAAGGAGAGAAAGGAATCCAACAACAGGAACTTGAAATTCAACTTGTAAATGAAAAGACTAGGATTTTAACCAACCAGATTGATCAGCTGTCTGAAGATGAAGTTGGTCAACTCACTCAAGCTATCCCGCAACAAGCTCTTCAGGCTAAAACTTATTCAGGAAAACTTGATATGATTCCACCCCAGCCCTTGGCTGCGTCATCACATACCTCCCAGTCAGCAGAGGTCCAAGAGCTGAGACAATCACTGCAAGAAAAAGAGGCCACCATTTGGATGCTCCAGGAAAATAACCACAGGTTGACTGATGCAATTGCTGCCACCACAGACAGAGAAAACAAAGAACATGAAGAAATGGATTCTGAAATTAAACAGCTAAAGGATAAACAAGATGTGTTAAAAACTTTACTGAAGGAGAAAGACCTCTTCATCCAAGCCAAAAGTGATCAGTTACTTTCTTCCATTGAAAAGCTCACTGACAAAGTGAATGAAAACGAGTTGTTGAGGCAAGCAATAACCAACCTAAAAGAGAGGATATTAATTTTAGAAATGGTCATTTCTCAACTCAAAGGGGAAAATGAAAACATGATAGAAACATCCCAAGAAAAGGAAATGGAGTATCAAGCATTACAAGAGACCAACATGAAGTTCTCTGTGATCCTGCTAGAACAAGTGTACGAGTGCCAGTCCATGAAGGGGCAAGCTCTTGCCTTTGAGCAGCTGTTACTAGAAAAAGAAGATGGCAAGGCTGGGGACTTAAGTCAGCTTTAAAAGCACTTGAATCCATGCAGGAGAAGACCATCCTATTTCAGCAAGAGAGAGACCAAGTCACCTTGTCTCTAAAGCACCAACAGATGGCAAACCAGACCTTAGAGCAAGAGGTTCAACACTTACGTGACAAAGAATTACACTTAAAGCAGGAGGTACAAAGCCTGAGGAGCCATCTTCTAGAATCAGAAGATTCTTACAGCTGGGAAATTTGGGCTGCAGAGAAGAGAGAGATGAACCTGAGAGAGAAAGTCACACTATTGGAGGAAAAGCTGCTCTCCTCTTATAATGCAAGTCACCAAGCCAGTGTGCAGGTAGAGTCCCTGCAGAAACAGGTGCGTTTCCTCTCCCAAGAGAGGGATGAGAAGGCACTGCAGCTTTCACTCTACCAGGAACAAGGAAAGCAGTATGCCATGTCACTTACTAACCTGCAAAAGGTTCTAGAGCATTCCCAACAAGAAGAAAAAGCTATGTATTCCATTGAATTAGAAGAGGAAAGACAACGTACAACCGAATGGAAGGAAAAGGCAGAAAATCTAGAAAGAGAAGCATTGTTATTACAAGAACGCTTGGATGAAGCCAACCTTGTGTTGGATTCAGCAACCAGACTTACACAACAGTTCCATCGAAAGGAAGAACAGATTGAACAAAGTGAGCTTCCACGAGAAATACTGGATGATGCACCAAAGAAATGAATGAACTCGGAAAATGGCACAGAAGGAAAAGTGGACAAAGCCCTAATGAGAAACCTGCTCATTGGGCATTTCCAGACACTGAAAAATCAGTGTCCCAAAGTGTTAAGGTTAATGGGAAGCATCCTGGGCACTCAAAAGGAGGAAATGGAGCAGTTGCTGAGTGGAGATGATGGTGGTGTTACTAAGTGGATGATGGGATGGCTTGCAGGAGGATCCCAATGTGTCCCCAACACACCTTTGACACCAAATGAGCAACCTGGGCTTAATAGTTCTTTTTAAAAACTTTTTGTCCAATTTCTGGAAACAGAATCTCATTCATCCATTCCATCACCAAAACTTTCTGCTCGTGCCATGAAGTGTCTAGACTCCAGAGGAAGGAGAAAGGAACGTGCCAATGTACCAAGAAGTGTGACAGATGCAGCAGAATTCAGAGCTGGTAAAAGAGAGGCTGTGAATCCATTCTTGGCACCGCGTTCTGCGGCTGTGCCACTGATTAGCCTAGATGGACTTGGAACTGGTGGACCTGGGAATCTCCTTTTGAATCCCATCGCAGACTTCATGCCTACCTTTACACCACTGCCAGTGTCACCAGACAATAGCGCGAGGGTTGTACTAAAGGACCTTTGAAAGCAATTCAAACTGATTCTCAAGCCAGGGATGAGTTAGCACTTTAAAGAAGAAATAACATTTTGTTCTTTTTATAAAGTGGCCTTTTCAAAAAGAAGTGGTATATTTGTAGGGACAAAGAAGAAAGTTGATCCACAGAAGTTCCAGGTATTTTGTCTCCCCCTCCCCATTTTTAGTGTGTGTTTGTTTGCTGTAGCACTGTTTTAAAATAAATTTCTCTTTGTTTACCGTAGTCCTCTTTTTGATATTTTGTTCTGATGCTATCAGGTAATCAACAGCAATAATAATTATAGCTCCAACCCCTTGTTTTAGGATTATATTTGTTATATTTAATTGTATTAAGATAAAAAATGATACATTTATATAACAGACAGAAGAAAAATCCAACCCATAGGAAACCCATATGAAAAAGATACATACCTCAGAATTTGGGCTAGCTGAAAACAAAATATGATGTAGCAAAAAGTTGTAAATACTTTAGTTTATAAAAGAAAACACTGTATAACTACTAAAAGAAAATTTCAATGGGAGGGCCTGAACATGAAGTTTAGTGGATAAATTCTTAGATTTGTTTAATCCAAATACTATGACACCTATCCATTTTACTTCATTCTATAAAAGAGTCACTTGACGTTCATTTCCTTTTCTAGATGTTACATATGTCCAGAAGGAAGATGACATTTGTTAGTCAGACCCAAAGTATAATCACATGCATCCTTTTTAATTTGTAAGAATGTATCATTAAATATCTAGACTGTTTACATACTTTGCTGGGCCCTTCAGGAATGCTTATAAACCCATTTTTAAAAATGTTCGATCAAGGAAAAAGTGGGTAGAGAAATAAAACATTACAGAGTTTTGAAAGATGAAAAAGTGAACAAAGGGGTAGTTAAATTCTTTCTTATTTTGGTAAATTAAGGTAAAAGATAAATCAAAAGTTTATAGCTGAAGTCAGGTGATATCACATCAGAGAAGTGAGAAAGCAGATAATGTAGCAAATGCTTCTCTGACACCTGTAATTTCTAAAACCATTAAGAACATTTTTATTAAAATTGATTCAAATAAATTTAATATAAATTAAATTATTTAAAATAAATCATAATTTACTATGAATTAATTTCACTAATTTAATTTATTTAATAATTTAATTATGAATTTAATTGATTTCATTAATTTAATTCATTTTATTAATACATTTTATTTATTAATTTAATAAAATTAATGATTTGCATAAAATTTTATTGAATTTTTTAAAGATTAGTTTAAAAATTAATTTTAGTAAATTCTAATAGAAATTATTATTTAATAGTCATATAATTTAATATGAATTTTAATAAAATTAATTTAATTTTGATAAAATGTTCTCAATGTTTTTTGAAATTGCAGGTGTCAGAGAACTATTTGCTATATAATCTACTGTTTTCTCTTCTTTGATTTCACCTAACTTGAGCTGGAAACTTTTGATTTATCTTTTATATTAATTTACAAAAATGAAAAGTGAAGACTATATAGATCAGACAAGAAAGTGGGAAGACAGTAGAGTATATAAAACAAACACACATATATATCAAGAAAAATAAAAAATGTTAAAATACCAGAAATTGGTGGGAGTATAGAGAAAGAAAAAAATAAAAATAAAAAAATGTACAACACAACTCAAATATACTATTCAGATGTCCCAGTCCTCAAAATCCTAATTCATGCAATGTACTAGGCTTCACACATGTTGGGGATGTGAGGGCAGCGGACAGGAGAGGGAGAGGGGAAAAAAAAAGGGAAAAAAAATCTTGAATGAAGACACAGGGCTTGTTTTGCTTGGTGATCAGTATCCTTCCTGCTTCCCTTCTTACCCAATAGGTGGTGTCCTCTGTTGTTAGATGGTATCTCTACCCTCAGGATGGTGAGGGTAATTAGAGTGTCACTGTGCCAGGTTAATGGCTATTGGAGAGAGGGGGAGTTAGAAACTGGGTACGTGGAAGATGGTGATGAAGGTGACCCAAGATGGAGGCTCCTGCTTTCAGCAGTGGGGTTGTTGGGTTGGGTGGGGGAAACCAGGCGATGGTGTTGGAAGATGAGTTCAGTGACCAACTCTGTGGCTTGCAATGTTGGCTGACTTCAGAGCCAGTGTGAAGGTCCTGGTTGCAGGCAGGCTACTGCACACAGGGGACTATGCCCACTGCTGCAGAGTCTCAAGATGGTGGTGACTGGGGGAACCCCATGTTGGTAGATGGAGTTCACATGGGGATGGTGACCACAGTTTCTACTCATGGGAAGCTTACAGGTGTTCTCCATAGGAGCAGCATGTGTGCTTTCTGCTGGGGTAGGTGGCCGAAAATTCTTTGAGGGTGCTGCTGCAGCTGCTTATGGTCTCACTTGAGTACCTGGTTACCCTGCCTAGGTGAGTAGTTGTGACCCTGAAGTTTGGAGCCCTGAACAAGTGCAGGGGGCAGGAATAAGCTTGCAGAGAATCAGTAGTCTCACTACTTGCATCCCAGGTCACAGGGCAATGCAGAATGCTGCCTTCCTCTGGCCCACCATCTTGGATCCAGAAATAGAAACATTTGTATAACAAGGTGAAAACAAAACTAGTCCAAAGATGTAAAGAGATATGACTCCAACTAGAACAAAATTTGATTGTCAATTTTGTCATGATTAACTACATATTTCGAATGTATTTAGGAGACAGGAAGTTTTGATTATGTGTTAATGGTTAAAACTTTTTTTTCCAAAAAATATCAGGTGACACTGATTCACACAGTGTCACCTCTCTTCTTAACTAACTTATTTATATTGCCATTCTTCCATACATTGAAAAGGAAGTTCCCATAGCAGTTCATATGAGAAATGTTCAACTGCCTCCTGAGCTCTGCTCAATTGGCATCATAGATGCTCCTCTACTTATTCTCACCATTCACAATTTAAACAGATCAATTTCAAGCAAGGAAATAGAGGATGCCATCAGTAGCCTACCAACCTAAAAAAGCTCAGAATCGGATGGATGCACAGCTAAGTTCTATAAGCTCTATAAATAAGAACTTACAACAATATTTCTCAAACTATTACATGAAATAGAAAAATAGGGAACACTTCCAAACACATTCTATGAGGCCAATATCCCTGATTCCAAAAGCAGACAAAGACACATCAAAGAAAGAAAACTTCAGACCAATATCTCTAATGAACATAGATGAAAAAATTTTCACTAAAATTCTGGAAAATTGAATACAAAAATATATCTAAAAGATAGTGCACCATGATCAACTAGAGTTCATCCCAGGGGTGCAAGATTGGTTCAACATATGGAAATCAATAAATGTAATTTATCACATCAATAGAATCAAAGATAAAATCATATGATCATCTCAATAGACACAGAGAAAGCATTTGACAAAATTCACCCCTTTATGTTCAAAATCATAGAAAAACTAGAGATATCAGGAACAAACCTCAACATTGTAAAGGCTATCTGTGCTAAGCTCCACAGCAACATCTTTCTAAATGGAGAAAAATTGAAAGCATTCCATCTAAAAACTGGGACAATACAGGGATGCCCTCTTTCACCACTTCTATTTAACATAGTTTTGAAATTTTAGCCAGAGCAATCAGATGAGAGAAATTAAAGGGGTACACATAGGAAAAGAACAACTTAAATTATCACTATTTGCAGACAATATGGGTCTTATATACCTAGAAGACCCTAAACATTCCACCAGAAATCTTCTAGAACTAATAAATGAACTCGGCAATGTAGCTGGATATAAAATCAACACCCATAAATCAAAGGCATTTCTGTATATCAGTGACAAATCCTCAGAAAGAGAAACTAGGAAAACCACCCCATTTACAACAGCCTCAAAAAATAAAATAAAATACTTGGGAATCAACTTTAATGAAAGGGGTGAAAGATCTATACAATGAAAACTACAGTACCCTAAAGAAAGAAATCAAAGAAGACCTTAGAAGATGGAAACATCTACCTTGCTCTTGGATAGGCAGAATTAATATTGTCAAAATGACCATACGACCAAAAGCACTGTACAGATTCAATGCATTCCAATCAAAGTTCCAATGGCATTCCTCATAGAAATCGAAAAAGCAATCATGAAATTTATCTGGAAAAATAAGAGACCCAGAATAGCTAAAGCAGTCCTTAGCAGGAAGAGTGAAGCAGGTGGCATTGCAATACCAGACCTTAAACTATACTACAGAGCAATAGTAAAAAAAAAAAAAAAAAACAGCATGGTATTGGTACTAAAACAGACTGGTAAACCAATGGTACAGAATAAAGGACACAGAGACTAACCCCAAAAATTACAATTATATTAGACAAAGGTGCCAAAAACATGCACTAGAAAAAAGGTAGCATCTTCAACAAATGGTGCTGGGAAAACTCTAAGCATCTTAACATGTCTGGATAATACACAGAATTACTGCTCTTATAGGAAAATTAATGTGCAGTTGTACATTTCCCCTGATAGAATTTCATGGCAATCTTTGTTGAAATAAATAAATATTCAAAGCCTGAAAGAGATGATGGAAATTATAACAAGGAAAAGTACCTAGCTCCCATGTTAGCAATAGGAAAAAGTTACACATGTTAGCTGAGCCTTCCCACATGTAAGCTGGGCCTTCCCAATTCATTTGGGGAAGGATTTTCTATGGGATGTTGCAAATAGTAATCTTCAGTAATAATGGACCTACTCAGCTACATTGGAAAGAAAATGATGTATTTTAAGAATAAAGTTTATTTGATAAACTACATCTTGAAATGCCCATTTCAAATATCTGGCTGAAAAATTCTTGAGGCAACAAATTATGTAGGAATGCTTTTAGCTACAGCCAGTGCAGCCAGATTCCTTTAAGCTGCTTTCTCCAGGGGAGTCTCTCTCTTTTTGTTTTTTTGGCTGCTGTTACCTGCTCCATTTGGAAGCTTGGCTGGGACAGTCATCACAGATAATAATGGCAAGGTACACACTGACCAGTTGGAAAGTCAGAAAGGAGATGCTGGGGTGCAAATGGAAAATGGGAAGGCAAAAAAA